CAAGAGTTAATGCTATCCTTGGAGAAGGACAAGTCTGTGAGAAATCCCCTGGCATGGCCACCACATAACCCTGATGGTCCTTCTTTGGGGACTTTCTATGCCCAAGAAGGCCCCTACCAGGGGGTAACCCAGGGACATAGAAAAAGTGAGAGTGGGAGGAGGCAGAGCCCCTCCCCCAGGTAAAACAGCTTCCTCCCCTCCAAGACAGTGAGTTGGCACCCGTCCAACTTTCCAAACTTTGGAGGCTCCCACCCCTTGGGGCAGGGGGGAGGGGTAAGCCAATGTGGGTGTTGAGGGGAAGGAAACATCCAAGCGAGAGATGGGGACCAGGTGACTAGGGGAGGGCCTCCCAGGGCTGAGCCCTTCCCCACCTTCGAAAGCCAGCGTCTGAGCCTTCGAAGGCCTGTTGGCAACGCCCTCTGACCATCCTCTCTGCCGTCTCCCAGTACTACCCCCACCCCACCCACACCCGCTAGCGCCCCCAAACGTGCTCTGCGTCGCCCCCCTCGCCGGATTCGCTCGCCGGCCTCCCTCCAACTCCTCTTCTCAAGGCCTGGATTTCCCCCAGCCCCCATCAGCAGCCCCGCTGTCAGCCCGCTGGAGCCTGTACCCCAGCAGCAGGGACCTGGACGCGGGGGAGACCTGGAGGCGAGGCTGACAGGCATTCCACCCGCCCCCATCTCCGCTCCGCAGGACCGCAGCCCAACTCCAATAGTCCATCGATCATTAACCCTCGAGAATAGGGGGTCGCGCAGACACCCCTCTCCCATCCACGCCGGGCATATAACCCTTTCCTTCCCGGGGCTTCCCGAGCCAAGCCCAAGGTCCGCAGGAGCGGTCCCTTTCCCTCGAGCCCGGCACCTCCCCTCACCTGTGGGCTGGGGTCGAAGACCTCCATGGGGATCTCCTGGGAAGGTGGGTAAGGGCCCCGGGACATGCCGCTCTTCTGGACCATGGAGAAGATCCTCCCGTCCGGCCGCCCGCCCGGCCCAGCCGGGCGCTCTCAGCGCATGGGAGAGGCCGTCCGAGCCGAGAGCAGCGCGGCGTCGCGCAGCCAGCACCGGGTGCAGTCGCCCAGCCCGACCTCGGGCTGCACGCTCGCCGCCTTGCCGCCCTCCCGGCTCGCGCTCTCGTCTCTGCGGCCGCAGCCGCCGCCGCCGCCGCCGCCTCCGCCCCTGAAGGCTCAGCATCTCCCCCCGCCCCTCCCTCGCTCCCGCCCCGCGCCGCGGCCCCGCCCCTCGAGCCCCTCCGCGGGGTGCGCGCAGACAATGGCCGGGTGGCGGAGCCCGCTGGCCTCCCGATCCCAGAGGGGCTTGACCGCTGTCCTCCGATTATCCTAGGGTGAGGGCATCTGCAGAGGACCAAGAGAAAACCGGCCTTGAGGCTGGGGTGGAGGTTGGGGTGGGGGGGCGTTTACCAGTGAGTGCCAAGCGCTGAAGCGCAGGTTGGCACCGCTGGCACTGCCTCCCTCTCTGTCCTAAACTACTCTCCCAGCGGGTCTCCCTGACCGACTCCTGCTTGGGCCACCGGAACTTCCCGGTCCCTGTAATCCTGGGACCTGGCTTTAACTCCTTTCTCCCCAGTGTGGGGCCTAGGCCGCCATGAAACCGGCAGGGTGAAGCTCCCTCTCCAGCCTGGCTCTAGGGCTGTTGGCTGGGGGCTGAGGAGGGGGTGAGTGTCCAAAGGGAGAGGCCAGCAGGGACAGCAGGACGCTGTCCAGGGAGTGCTCCTGCCTTATCAGTTACTAAGGTCCCCCAGGCCCTTCCGAAGGACCAGGAGTCAGGCTTGGCGAAGTCCCTGTTGCCTAGAACAGAAAGGAAATAGAAGGATTTACGAAGATGAGAGAAAGTGAAAGGCTATTCAAAATCAGATGCCATGACAGTTTACCTAGGATTGTCCTTCCTCTATCCTTGACTGGGAAACACACGTCTCAGGCCTCTGGGGAGGAGTAGGATCCTAGCAACTCCATGCTAATCGGGCTCAGGCTCTTTGTGGTCATGGGGTGTAGCATGCATTTAGTCCCGCACTGGGGAGGCAGAGGCAGGAGGATTTCTTCGAGTCTGATCGAGGCCAGCCTGGTCTACATAGTGAGCTCCAGGACAGCCAGGACTACATAGAGACTCTGTCTCAAACAAACAAGTCATTCTCTGTGCTTCAGGTTCCTTCCTATAAACGGTGTTGCTGGTACTATGGCGCCTTTGCCTCCTGTAATTATTGGCAAGATCAGAGAATGAAAAGAAGTCTGGAAGCTGGGTGTGATGTGTACAGTAGCAATGTCAGTACTCATCACGAGGCAGGATGATCGGGGATAGAGGCCAGCCTCGACCACATACTGAGTTTGAGGCCAGCCTCAGCTACACAGAGAGACCGGTTACAAAGCATCAATGAATGAACAAAAGTGCCCCACGATGAAAAGATTCTGAGGTTCTGGAGGTGCTGTGAGGAGCGGTGTAGGGGTGGTTCCTGGCGAGAGGACTGTTTCCTCCCTTCTCTACCCTGTTCTTTGCTCCACAGAGAGCGGAGAGTTGAGAGGCCAAAGGCAGCCTTGTCAAGGAGAAATGCTCCTAAAATAAAGACAGCTTTCTGTGTTCTGTTTGATGGGAGACCGTGGGCTTTTTGGACTCATCCTCACTCTGGATTCTGATAGGCGAATGCTCATTCTCTGGTCACATCATCTTGTGATAAGGACTGTGAGCAGTGATGAAACTTTGTACCCTTCCACGAACATCTCCAACACTGGCAGGGTTCCCAGCTGCACACAGAGGACAACCGAGCCTGCCATGAGAGGGAAGCATGGACTTCCCCAGCTAGACATCATGGCAGAGGCCTTTAATCCCGGCACTTAGGAGGCAGAGGCAGGCAGACCTCTTTGAGTACTAGGCCAGTCTGGTCTATACAGGAAGTTCAGGCCAGGTAAGGGCTACAGACTCTGTCTCAAAAAGCAGCAGCGGAAAAAGAAGAGGGGGAAGAAGATGAGGAGGAGGAGGGAAAAGAAAGACCTGTGTTCTGGCTCTATTACTTAAGTTGTAAAATGAAGTGGGGTTTTTTGTTTGTTTTGTTTATTTGATTGATTGTTTTGAGCCATGTAGCCATGTCTGGCCTTGAACTCCCTCTGTAGACCAGGCTGGCTTTGAACTCACAGAGCTCTGCCTTGCATCTGCCTCTCAAATGCTGGAATTGAAGGCCTGCATCACCACCAAAATGAAGATTTTTAAAAAGTTGCATTTTTGTGAGGTAGTACATAAATATGGTCCCTCTCCCTCCTTTCTTTTTAAACTCTCAGCTCTTTTAACTGCCTAGCTGGGCAGTGGTGGTGCACAATTTTAATCCCAGCACTCAAGAGACAGAGGCAAGCGGATCTTCGTGAGTTCAAGGCCAGCCTGGTCTGCAGAGTGAGTTGAGTTCCAGGACAGCCAGAACTACACAGAGAAGCCCTGTCTCGAAAAAGGGAAAAAAAGAAAGAGAGAGAGAGAGAGAGAGAGAGAGAGAGAGAGAGAGAGAGAAAAGCAAGAGAGCACAGACCTGTACCTGCAATTCTAGCACTTGAGAGAAGGTAGCGGTGGGAAGATAGAGTTGAGGCCATCCTGAACTGCATAACAGGACTCAAAACAAGGAGAAAAAAGAGAAAGGCTCCTGAGCCAAGTAAGAATGAGGGCCAGAACTCTGATCTAGAACTTTTGTTTTATTTTGTTTTTCTGTTTGTTTTTTGTTTTTGAGACAAGATCTCTCTGTTATGTAATTCTGGTTGTCCTGGAACTCTCTATACAGGCTGGCCTCGAACTCACAGAGATCTGCCTGCCTCTGTCTCCTGTGTGCTGGGATTAAAGGTGTGCGCCACCACACCTGGCTCCTGATCTTAGACTTTTTAAAAAAGAGGTTTGCTTTTATTTATGTGTGTGTGTTTATGTGCATGCATGCCTAACGTATATGGGTGCAAGAGGTGGTTAGAAGATAGCAAGAGATCCCAAGGAACTGGAGTAACAGGCAGTTGTGAACCACCAGATATGGGTGTTGGAAACCCAACTATATTTTTCTGGTGGAGCAGCCAGTGCTCAATCCTGGCCATCTCAGCCTTTTTTTTTTTTTAAGTCAGGACTTCTAGGCTGGCCTTGAACTCCATATGGAGCTGAGGATAACCTTCAACTTGTGATCCTCCTGCCTCCCAAGTACTGGAAGTTCAGGTGTGTACCACCATGCTTGGCCAGATTATTATAATTTTTTTTTTTTTTTAAAGGGAGGGTCTCATTCTGTAGCTCAAACTGCACGGGATCCTTTGGCTATCTTGCTACCTCGATCTCATCTCCTGACTGCTAGAATTAAGGGAGGGAGCGGGCTGCTCTGCTCCAGATCTCCAGATGCTTTAATTCTTGAACCCTAGAACATTCTCCTCGGGTTATCGCTCAGGGGTATCCAAAGCCGTTGGACTTTTTGGTTTAGACCATTCATTTACTCATGTGCTTGCTACCGTGAGCCAAACATCGGTTCCGCTTGCTCGTGCTAATGCCTTCCTTTGTAAAAAGCAGATGCATATGATTTTCACAAGTGGATGACAGAAATATTAGGATTAGGTTCAATCCACGATGGAGGCAGCATCCAGAGATTAGGGATTTGCAGTGGCGCCGAGATAAACCTCTTGGTGGCTTAGCTTGCATACCTACTCTATGAGGGCGAATGCGAGGCTGCGTTTGCTTGCTTTCTGCCGTCATTATTCTCTAACGCTTCGTTCGCTAATTTCCTCCCAGCTAAAATAACAACCTTCCCTTGATGACCGGCCCTCCGTGAGGACTAGGCCATTCCGGCCAAACCTTCCTCACTCCGCCTGCGCGATTCAGCGTGACTTCCGGCCACCCAAACACCCACGTGATCAAATGCCCTCACTGCGCATGCCTGCCGCGAAGTTGGGCTGAACCACTTTGCCCGACGAAAGGGGGTTTACCGTCTGTGTTTTAACGTTTAAAACCGATTCTCGACCCTAAGCATCCATGATCACAAATTTTTAGGAAGAACGTGAGTGAGCCTGAGACGGGAGAAGGTGAGAGAGCCAAGCGGAAAGGCGGACGAACGTGGAGCGGGGCTTGGGCTCTCCCCTTCGCAGATAGTGGGAGGAGCCGGCCACCAGCAAGCTCTTTCCTTTCGCCGCTGCGTCCGCAGCCATGAGGTGAGCGCGCGCGGCTCTCGGTTCTCGGCCGATGGCGCCGGCGGGGCTTGGCGGGGATCAGGGCCGCGACCCGGGCTGGCAAAGAGGAGAGGGAGGGAGGCAGGCGCGCTGCGGCCGCGGCGG